AAGAAACGATTCATCCCTTCCATCGTAACCGAGAGCTCCTCATATCGGATGATTCGGTGAAAATGATCACCACTTCGAGGGAGGGAAGCGAGGTAATCACGATAGAAAGAGGAGAGGGTGTGGAAAAGCGCCGCTCAAAAGATCTCGAAGTGGCGACAGGCGGGGATAGTCCCCGTGGCAACCCAGTAGACTTCTACGACGTTGCTTTGCTCCCATGCAGCGCTGAACAGCAGGAGATGCCAGTAGAACGTGAGGGCAGCGGATTGGAGGGAGGCGTGGGGGTGGACGGTGGCGAGTAGACGGGTAGAGTAGAAGTCGCGGAAGAGATGGGGATGGAAAGGATGGGAAGGGAAGGTGACGGGGGTACGGATCTGCTCGAGGGTGAGAAAATCAAGGGGTCAGTGAGGCAGCGTCCGAGGTCGAAGGCCTATCACCCGCATTGGTACGTGGGCGAACTGGGGGACGGGTGGGGCTGGAGGAGGACGGGGATCGGCGTCGTCTCCGTCGCGCGGTACTTGAGGTGGCGGCTGCAGGGTCGCCATCTTCGGGCCTCGGCGGCTCTGGATCCCTGGTCGGACCGCTATCGATGCGCAGGCTAGCCTTGCTAGCGAACTCCAGCTGGCGTGTTCTGGAGGCAATCTCTTCGCGCCTTCGCGCCGCTTCCGGATCTTCCGCTTCCTCCGGTGGGGCTTCACACTCGGATCCGGTTCCTTCTTCTTCCTGTTCCTCCTCACTCAGCTCGCCCTCGCTATGTTCACTATAGCTTCCCTCCTCCGATGTTTCCTCGTCGTTGTCTTCTTCTTCATCGTCGTCGTTGATCACCACTTCCTCTGCCCTCGGATAGAAGGCGTAAGGGATGATCTCGTACGACTTCAGATACTCCTGCCGCGATGGTAGGGTATCCTCGTCCCTAGGTTCCTCCAAGCACGAAGTCCACTGAAGGTACGGATCCAAGGATCGCTCGAAATGTACGGAGCAGGACTGTTGTCGCTCTGAAAGTAGATGTCGGGCGAGAGATCGTCCGCCAATTGCACAATCGGTGCGATAAGCTCCTGTGCAATCAACTGACGGCGACCCGGTCGTACCAATCCAAAGAGGAACCCAATAAGATCTCCTTCCGCGTTAGTCCTCCAACCCTGTATGATCAACAGCTCCGGATTCTCGATCCACGTGGGATGCTCGCTAGTGCCCGTCCACGTCACCTGTACTCTGGCCAAGCAAAAGGACAACTCCTCAAAAGTTTCGCGCCACAATCGCCAATATCCAGGAATGATAAGAGGGACTGAAAGAGGCTCGAACGAGAAGGAAAGAGAAGGGTGAAGATCGGATTGCCAGAAGGTGGGGAAGAGAGAGGGGAGACCAAAGGTAGAGAGAGGAGCGAGACGAGCAGCGTGGTTCATTGGGGACGGGGGAAGGGGACGATGGTCAGGATCGCAACTGGCCGCTCGCGCAGTGATCGGCGAATACCATCAAGATCCGATGCAAAGATCGGGATGATGTTATACCCCTCCCGGGTGAGGACGTGCTGCCACACGTTGGACACTTGCTCCGTCCACTCGAGCAGCGAGGCCAAGATCGAGGTATGCCGCAGCGGATTGACCGAGCTGAGGTCGCCGGTGAATCCCGCCACTGTGGTCACGTGGCTCGTTCTGGGACCCGCTCGCCGATGAACTGCAGTAACCTCCGCGAACACTATTGCGTGAGGGCTTCTTTCTATCCGAAACGCGGCGGCAGCACAGATACCTTCGTCGCAGAAGAATCACATCAAACAGCGAAGATCCGTATTGAGCCGAGGGTGACAAACTTGCCGGATCTCGGAGATGTGGCCACGTGGCTGCCGCAGCTGTGCCTCGAGAACCCGCTCCGTGATAAAACTCATGGCGAGGTCGGAGAGGAGGACGAAGGACAAGAGGAAGAAAGACGGGAGAAAGTTAGATCGTCGTCGTTCTCCTCGCTTTCCGAAGAAGAAGAGGGAGGACGATCGGAAGGAGGAAGAAAACGGAGGTAGGAGGTATGCCGGACGATGGGGACAGAGCTATGGCTGGCACTAGCCTCAGGCGCGATGCGCACTGTGTTGGCGCTGTTGGGTCCGAGTTCGACAACGTGAAAACAACCCAAGAACTTGGGAGCGAGTTTTCGGTCGCGTGCACATTTACGTACCTGCACTAGGTCCCCCAATTTATATTGGTATTGGGGCCCAGCATTTCCGTTCCGAGCCTCGTAGCTACGAACCTGTCTACCATGGACCAGTTCGGTCATCGTTTGCCTTTTTCGGGCTAGCTTCGGAATGGCCCGTTCCATTAAATCGGCGTACCTTTTGGCCTTGGCCTTGAGAGCCGCACGCGTGTTTCTACCCCCTGCTTCGGCAATTTCCGAGTTGCCCCGATAATCGACATAGGGGAGGCTATTAGTTCGAAGCTGAAAGGGGGTAAACCCCGTAGACTCGTGAGGGGTGGCCCGATGGATCCTGACGATCAGATACACGATTTCGGGCCAAGGACGCGTGTCTTGTGCCGCTAAGTTCCGGCGAAGGGCGGTTTTAATCATACGGTTGGCATTCTCGGCCAACCCGTTCGACTGGGACACGTGGGGTGCCGTATGTCGGAGCGTGACGCCCCTTCGCGCAAGTAGTTCTTCTACCTCACCTTAAAATTCAGATCCATTGTCGGTTAGAATTTCTTCCGTATCTAGACGGGTATAGAGGAACCGTTCGATGTACGTGGCTATTTCTGCGGCTTTTCGGGTCTTACAGGGATAAACCTCGATGTACTTGGAAAAGTGGTCAATTAATACTAATAAAATAAAATATTCACAGCGGTTTGGGCCAGGTGGCACGTCAATATCTGTCGTGTCCATACTGATTCGCTGAAAATGACGCTCTACTTCCGTTGGTACGATTGTATTTGGTCCCCGTATAGGGGCGCGATCAGCGGCACAGACCAGACAATTAGCGACAATGTATTTGACATCATCTCGTATATTGGACCAGAACCATCGGTTCTGGTTTACAGTTGCCTCCGTGACACGTATCGCAAAATGAGCGGCCTGTTCCTCGTGAGCAGATCGGATCCAATCGTATCTCTGGAAGGGATGGGGAATTGTCAGCCACGAACCCGATCCGTCAGTTTTACGCTTTTCCAAATGACCATTGATCCATCGATAGTCCCGAGATCTCTCGGTCGCCCTACGTTTGTCGTGTTTGGTGAGGTGACCCAATGATAATCCCGCTAATTTCGCCAATAAAATTTTATCCGTCCAGACTTCCACTCGTCGATATTTTTCGTCGTATTCGGGACCGTCCGTACGGGCGGCCTCGAATCGAACCTCCGTGGGGAGCTGTTCGTTCTACACAGGGGGCACCTCCATTCCTTGCTACTTGTCCGATATCGAACGCAGGCCCCGTGCGCACGGTTGACACACGTGGCACATTCTACCCAATCGACAAATCCGGTCTCAAAGGGATGACAGTCGACCCCATAAACCCGTGCAATACACGTGCAAAAATAACAAAATTTATCGTGGAGGGTGGCAAAGAAAGCGGAGGACGTGAGAGGGGAAGAATTAGTAGGAGATGAAGGGGTTGCGGAGGCGAGTGGAGTAGCCATGATGTTAGAGGAGGAGAGGATGCAGGGAGGGTAAAACAGAACAATTAGTCCTCGTGCCACTTACTGCTTCGATAAGATCTCCACTTGGCCGTACCGAGGTCCAATTTCCTGTTCGGGTTCGTTCCACGGAATTACCTCCTCATTCTTCGGAACTTTCTCAGGCCGGTGTAGTCGTGTCAGTCCGTCCGCATTCCCGTGTCTCTCGTGCTTCCGATGGCGGATGTCAAAGTCCATGCTCTGCAACACGGTTGCCCATCGCCCGATCATGCCCAAGTAATCCTTCGACTTCTTCAGAGCCAACAGAGGCTCATGATCAGTCACCAGGGTGAATTTTCGCCCGTACAGGTAAGCACGAAAGTGATTGATCCCCCAGAGAGCTGCATAGCATTCACCCGTTGGAGCGGCGTAATTGCGCTTGCAGGCGGGCATTGATTTGGACGCATACTCCACTACACTCTCGAGTCCGCTTGGTCCCACCTGGACAAGAATTGTCGAAATCGCCTCTGGCTGCCAGTCAGTGAGAACAAAAGGTTTTCGGGATCCGGTCTTATAAGGACCGGAGCCGAAATGAGAGCAGCCTTGAGTGTGGAAAACGCTTGATCGCATTCCGACGTCCAGATCAACGGCTGATCCTTGCGCAACAAATTTGTGAGAGGTCCCGCAATCGCCGCGAAGCCCTTGATAAATCTTCGGTAATACGAGGCTAGGCGCAGAAAGGCGCGAACTTGCGTGATAGTGGTAGGTACTGGCGTGTCCCTGACAACTGCCACCTTCTGCGGCTCCGGTTGGAGTCCCTTGTCTGTCACCACGTGCCCCAAGAAAGAAATGGTGGTGAGAAAAAACTGACACTTCTCAAGCGCCACCTTGAAACATGCATCTCGTAGCGCATGCAGTGCCCATTCGATGTGCTGCACGTGTCCCTCGTATGAGCTCGAATACACCAAGATGTCATCCGTGTACACAATCACGCAGTAGTTGATGATGCTTTGCGCCAGGCGAGCCTTCCTCACAAAATTCTGAAAAGCCATGTTCATGGCCCGCTGAAAAGTCGCAGGGGCGTCGCAGATACCCATCGGGCATCGAATCCATTGCCACGTACTTTCGAAAAGCACAAACGCGTTTTTCGGACGATCTTCCTCACGAACAAGGAGATGATGAAACCCTTGGCGAACATCAAACTTCCTGAAAAATCGAGCACTCCTAATCACATCTAACAACTCATCAATCCGGGGGAGGGGATACACATCTTTGATCGTGATATCATTTAACTTTCGATAATCAATGCAAATGCGAATCCCTCCAGCCTTCTTAGGTACGATCACTACAGGGAAAGACCATGGACCTATAGCAGGTTCGATCCATCCATTAACTTCGAACTCCTTAATCCGCTGAAAAGCGGCCGCTTTTTGAGCTGGCGAGTATCGATAGGGAGTGCAGCTAATAGGTGGATGATCTCCTGTGAGGATGGCATGCTCAATTACATTAGTTAAGCCGATATCATTGTCATGCACGCTCAACACTTATGAGTAACCATTTAACACACAAATTAATGACTTTCGGAGTTCCGCGGGAACGTGACTCGGGAGCGTGATCATCGATTCCCTGGACATCTTAAGGGGGATATCGATCCAATCAACCGGCCGCTCCCGCCGCTCATTGACACTAGAAAAAACGGAACTACTGGTGCGAACAGAGAAGACAGTTGCTATCATCTGGGACTCAGCGGGGCTGATCATCTCCGTTTCTTTAGTTTCAGCGTCGGTCTCTGAACCAGCCGAAGTCGGTTCCGCAGTTAGCCCTATTAGATCCGTCATATCTTGCATCAGATTAGGTACGTCACTTACCGGTGCTTCCGCCTCTTGTTTAATCAAGGCGATGGTGGCTCCTGTCGTTAGTAATGGTTTGGGCGAAAAAACAGAGACATCCAAATACTGTTTCGTTTGTTGATAACGCGTTCGTAAGAAAAGAGCTCCCTCGTACAATGTGCGAAGGGGTTCCAAATCATCAGCCAGGTCGGAAACTTGCAATATGGGTTCCCCGAGGAGGACTGAAGGACTGACCTGGGTTGTTAGAGGTGTGAATGCACTGTCTTCAAAATCCACGTGGAAGCTTCGAGCGGTGTCGGGGTACACTCAAAATTCTTCAGGGGTTTCGTATTCGAAAAGTTCAACCTGACGTTTCCATTCCTCTTCACTGGGCATCTCTTCTTCGTATTCTCGCTCCCCGATTCCATCCCCGAGGTTCGAGGGGGAGCACTCCTCGGGATCAATGTATCGAATCATCCCGATGGGAGCCGAGTTAGGGACCCGTTTTATCGTTCGGGTGGAAACTTGCAAAGGAACAGTCTAAGGCTTTCCCCCAGTTTGTGTAAGCACCAATTGTTTCGAATCGAAATGCAGACGTGCGCCCACCGCCATCGCCCAGGGTAATCCCAACAATACAGAGTAGGAACGTACATCTATTACGAGTGCGTTAACAAGGACGTGTACTCGTCTCACTTTTACGGCTACGTTCTCGATAATACCTACGATGTTCATTGCTTCCTCGTCGGCAGAGACATAGTTATCTTTGCCAGATTGAGGAAGAATGGATCCAAGTCGTCCCGTCTTTTTGACAGTTTTATGGCCACTGCAGAAGATCCTGTGTCGATAAGGGCGTTAAACGGCTTACCCCAAACTTCACAGTCATATTCCGCGCTTTTCCATAGTACCGGTCGAGCTCGTACGAAGTGATCCTTTTCTGCTAAAGAGATCGCTGCCATACGTGCGGCTTCGGGTTCAGTTTCTTTTGTATCTGGCTCGAGAGGTGCAACCTCCTCACCTTCTTCCTTCTTCTTCAACATCCGTTGTATGCGCTGATAGGTGAAGCGCTTTTGATTTTTCCGACAATGGTGTAAAAGTTTATCGTTCGCTGCTTCAGATATGGTAAGCAGATGTCCTACTGGGATAGGAACGCGATTATCTAATAGCTTGAGCGTTTTCAGTACATCAATATCCCCTGTCCGAAACAGTGGTCCAGGATTCGACTCGCGATCGACCCATTCGAGATCATCTTGGGCCGATCGGATCGCTCCGATCATTCCAGCAAGATAGAGATACTCGAGGGGATCGACCACGTCAGCAGCGTCAGAGGAAGAAGCTCCTGATGTCGACGCCATTGTCGTCGAAGGGGAAGGCTTCTCCTGGGCGTATGCCACGAGTTCTCTTCCCAGGTCCGTGTCCATCAGAGCAGCCACTCGTCCTTGATTAAGGGCGACGGGGGCCGCAGCAGGGGGAGACTGATTACGTTTCGGCTGCGAACAGTCTCGGGCGAAATGCCCGGGCTGTTTGCAGTTGAAACACTCGATCTTTCCTGCCGGATTAGCTAGATGGGGAAACTGAGGGGCGAATCTTGGAGCAGGTGGAGCAGGTAAGAACGGAAACGATGCAGGGGTAGGTCAGGCAGGAGCCGGGTTAGGCTTAATGAGCCGAGTCATTATCTGTTCCATTCGTTCCATTTGAGCCGCCTGCATTTGGATCAGGTTACTTATCCATTCGGACTGCTTAGTAGTGGTCGTATGGATCATCTGGGCAAGATGCAAATTGGTTATGGCTGGCGAGGGGGGTTCGGATGGAGTTCCGCTTCTAACGGTTGCAATTGATTGATTCCCCGGGGGAGAGGGAGGAGAAGCAGCCGGGATATCGGAGACGATTCCGCCGGGAAGGTCATGGTCAGGGCGGGGATAGAACCGTTCGACCGCCTGTAGCCATGATCGCCTTTTGGCCGTTACATTCCATATGGTATCGATAATATCCTCGTCTCCCTGGCTGATATCTTTTTTTGTATCAGCCAAGTCTAGCTCCAACGCTTTAGTGATGATAGTCGATAACTGGGTTGTTTTCGACGGAACCTTTTTCTGCAGTTTCCCTTTCAAGGTCGAACTTCGAAGGTGATCAATAAACAAATCTCGAGCAGATTTCTCGTCTCGCCCGAATTTATCCAATGTGGTTTGAAATCGATCAACGAAATTGGGTAACAGTTCCCCTTGTCTTTGGGGTCGATTTTTTAGCACGTACCAGGCGACATCTTCGCTAACCGTGTCGAATCGAGCCAAGAATGCATGCTTAAAAGTCTCCCAATCTACCCATGTATGCTTTCTGAACCAGTCGTGCGATGTATTGCGGAGTAGCAATGTCAGAACATGGGGAAGATCGGCTGCGTTGTAGTTTTGAGCTTCGACAGCTTCCAGCCAAGCCTCAAGATGGGTATGGTTAGGGAAGAAGGGAAAGGGGGCAGGGATGCTAACGATCACCCTAGTACCGTCCACCATTGGTATTGCTGGTGCAGCTGCACTAGACTGAGACCGGGTTACAGGGCGATCCCGACGAGTTAGTTGAGGGTCTCTCCTACCTCTCGCCAGTTCGACTTACTATCATAAGAACCGACACGTGTCGGCTCCGATACCAACCTCACGCCCGATGCTGTCTTTCGTTCGGAGTGTTAGCTGTGAGGAAAAGAGGCCCAGAAAAACAGCAAGATGGGGTGTGCCAAGGATTTTTGGAAATTGAGTGTGGGGACACAAATGAAACTGAAATCCCCCGTGATGGTCCGATGGAGCAAGTCGATCGTTTCGCGCGTCGCGGAATGCATGTGCGGGCAAGGCGGGAAAGAGAGAGAAGGATCCAAATTCAATCCAAAAAGTATTGTCGTGCCTCCCACCGGGCTACAGCCCGTCGTTTAGAACAGAAAGGCTTGGGCACGCTTCGCGTGTCCCGTTTTCGTATCAAATCCCGTCGTCGTTCGCTGGTTAGTTCCGAGTCTGACGTGGAGGGTCTCAGTCGCGTGGCTCTTTCTTTATGCTCGTCTTCACTCCGCACACGGTAGTGGAAACCCCTGGACTCGTAGCGCTCAAAACGCTGACATTCGGTGCACAGAGTGCGCGGCCAGTGGGGTTCTACTGCCGTCCACGGAATGACGATTAACTCGTTAAATGGCAACAATACCGAGTAAGGTGGGAAGTGCGTATCGATAATAACAAACCCGACTTCTATGAACCCAGAACAACGGTTGGCTGGAGGGAAGTAATACTGCCCGCCAATTTGTGCAACGGCTTCTCGTATGTCCCACTCACATACACGTGTCCTTTCCTCACTGTAAGTAAAAGGTCGTGTTGGGATGAGAGATATGGGAGGCTGACGCCCAATCGAAGGGTACTTGTTAGTCCACATGTCAATCAATCACAAAATATCCTGAGACGTCATTAAGAACAAAAGCGATTCGCGCATCCCCCAATCAATCTTTTTAACACAAGAGAGAGAAAGCAATCACAGATCAGTATGGCTACGGGTCCGATCAGTTCAACCCAACGTTGGTCCCTGGGCGCCTTGTTTCTCAGGGCCGCCTCGTGGCTCGGCTGCTGATGTCGTGCATCATAAGGCAGATGGCATGCGCAGTGCAAACAGAGCTGCAAATCTAAAAACTCTTGCATTCTCGAACAAACCCCGACGACACTCGTCTAATCAAATCGAAAAAGTCACGTATCTCTATACATGCATTCACCGTGGAAGGTGCGAAAATGAGACATGCAAAGGAAAAGATGGATCGCATTGCACAATACACACGCATCCACCRTTCACAAGACAAGTAGACGGGGTSCTTGCGTAGGRGGATTACCCAGGAAACTAATGGAA